ACTCAGGAATATTTGGCAAGGGAAATAACGCCCGCAGAGAGCTGCGGGTGCGCAGGCGGGTACCGCGGGAGCGGGCGGGCAGAGCTGCGGGGTGTAGGTCCACGTCTATTTATCTCTGTGTATCTATGTGTATGTACGTGTGGGCGTATGGAAAACACAGCTATTAACACCCGGGATGTACGTGCACATATGCATACATTATACGCACGTACATACTTATCTGCTCCCATAAGGATAAGTATGTGCGGGTGTATGTGTATATATCTGTATATAATGTAAAGGGGTTGTAGCAGGGCTGTGAATACGATACAAAGATACCTCAAAACTTTCCACACAAACACACCTTGAATGGCTCCTCCAGCAGCAAAAACATCCTGTTCACAGGAAAAAAAAAAAAAAAAGAATTATCCCAATTGTTCTTAAACATGTTTCAAAGAAATCGAGCGATCCGGAAAAACAAAGTAATCTTCCTAGCAATCCCCCACTGAAAGACTCCAAAGGGGAGTGGCAATGCATGGAAAGTAAACCGAAAAAAAAGGAAAACCCGAACTGTTATGTGAATTAGCATGTTTTGGACTTCAAAAATGAACAAACACAACTGGTAGTTTGTTGGAAGAAGCAATACCTCTGTATGAAACAAAGAACTGAGAGGATGGGATGGTTAGAGTGCTCCAAACTAGTTCTATTTTTGAGCAAAAAATCAACTTGCATCGCCAAAATATCATAAAGGATATAAAGGCACCTTTATAATGACATTAGTTACATTGCTTTATTTCTAAACGGGTGCAAAACAAGTGAAAAATGATTTTTTTTTCATAAAAAAAGTCTGTGTAGGTAGAAGAAAATTGAAAGTATCTTCTTGTAAAAATAAAGAAAACTTTTTAAAGGGTGCTGCTTTTAAAAATGCAGCCAGCTTTAGACTCAGGAAAATCTCAGCTTGGATACGGTGTGGTGCTTTGTAATCATGGTTCATGGCGGCGAAAGGCACGGGCCTTCCTTTGGTGTCTGGCAAAAAAGGGAAGAAGCTGATCAGTTTGCATTCGTTTGGATATTTTCATAATTACAAATGTGCATCCCTCTGTCCTAGTCCAATGGGCTTAACAATGCCTGTCGCTTATGTGGGTGCTTCTCTGCTGGACACGGGACCCAGGGATGTTTCTGCCCAGGGATAATTTATTCTCGGCGGGTGCTGTGTGCGGGGAGGGGAGGTAAAAACGTGCAGTTACCGGCGGTAGGTGCAGCCGGCCCCAGGCCTCGGCTGGCTGTGCGCCCCGCGGCCCCCGCGCCGGCACGTCCAGCTGCCGACGCTGCATTTCCCGTGGCTGCTCCTGCCCTGTACCCCCGCCCGCAACACGTGGT